TTTATTCCCCAAAAGGTTAGGCAGAAGTAGACAGTTTTATTCTTACTTATCATTCGACTTTTAGACTTCAGACACTGGCTTGAATTTTAGATCGAGCAAAGTACCTATTAACTTTATTCAACTTAAGAATCGAACTTGAAACACGTCACACCATTCATAAGGTTGAACTATTAAATAATGTACCTATCCTTAGAACATCGCTACTACATTAAAGATTTTTGCCGGCTTTTTTTCAGTATTGAATTACGCACACAAATATCAATCATCCAGCCGTAATATGTAGTAACTTTATTCATCTTTCAAGGCCCCTCACTAACACAATCTCTATTCATTATAAATGCGTTTTATTTGTTCACAAACATTGGTCAGTTGGAGCTCCCTTACAGCTGCACGGAAGGCTTATTATATGACCTCTATACAAATATTATTTATGAATCATTGGAAAAGGTTCGATTCTTAGAAAACGGTTAGATGGGACTGTAAAGTATGGAAACTGACAATATCGGTGATGGAGTTTTTAATGAAATATATAGAGTGACTGGACTGTAATGGCTGTATGAACGCGACGATCGCAACATTACCGGCAGCACACGCTACACTTGCCAATAATTATCGCATCGATAAATTGTCGCGCGGCATCGCGTCGACGCGCGTTCTGTCGCCTCGATTTATTACGCGCGGTTTTTGCCGCCCGTCGCGCGCCGCGCGCCGTGTCCCGCACTGTGAGGTAATGGAGTGTGCAACTATCTGTCATTATGTGCACACTGGACACTGGTCGCTGCTAATTCATAATTATACTTTACTCGCACGTATTGCATGAAAGACTTAATATTAAAATATAAGTACATAACATTGACATTATTTGAATTTGACATAAAATTACTTAAATCCTTTCTTAACTTAACCAGTACACCAGTTACCTATTCCTAAATCTCATGTCCCGCAGTTAAATTGCAACGAGTCGTATCTAGCGACCCCCGGCCAGTAATCCGGGTGTCCGGCCCGGTCTGACCCGGTCCGGCTGTCCGTCCGACTACCACTATTAAGATAAGCGCAAGACGTTTACTAAGTTTAAGGAACAATTTATTGACGCAGAGGGAGGAACATGTAGAGGGAGGCTTATTTATGCGTTGTACCTATACAAGTTAAATTGCTGATAATATCTTATTGTGTACTTCGGTCTGTGGAGTATTTGATACTTAGCAACTTTTCAATTATTAATAAAAGTGAAAATTTAATAGAAAAAAACAAAAAAATATATTAATTTACGCGTGATATTAAATAATATAAGCTACACTTAACTTTCTTATGTTAAAGACAGGGTCTTATAATTATTCTTACTACCTATTTACAAGCACTAAACACCGTACTAGATAAACAAACAGACCTTCATATTCTGACTCGCTACACACACTCGTAGAATCACAGCCGACTCTGTACGACTGCGAGCTCTACTGAGGGTCAGATAGACAAATCGCTGGCTATCAGTCAGCGGGCAGCCGTTACGCGCAGCTGTCTCAATCCCGGCCGGGATTCAGCGCGGGATTCTGCCGGGATCCCGCGGGATTAACCCCGGCACATCACCAGGTGGACAGCGCGTTATGTCGCTAATTCAATAGATTTAGTGGCGATAAATGTTGATCGGGGATTCAAATGGATTTGCTATAACTGCTGTCATTGACGATGACACGGTTTGGATCAAATGAGTGTCACTTTCTACATACTGTGTCTTAGGATCACAAACGGTTTAAGGTTTAGTCTTTGACTGCCAATAGAAAACTGTTGAAATCCTCCGCTAACGCCAACCGCCCGTGGCGTTTAACGTGTTAAGTATGTACAAGATAGGGTAGGTAAATTATACTTAATATTCAAAGATCGCCAACGATCTTAATTCGTCTCATTGCACACTAAAATTACATTAGGAAATATCAAATTGCTTACCTTCAGCAGCTGCTGGTAGTATATTTTCTTGAGAGAACGCACGATAATCTTATTACTGTACCATTGAAGGCATTAATCTTACCTGAAACAAATGAAAAAGAATTATTAGAAACTTTAAATAGATTAAAAAGTTCAAATAAAAGTTTAATTTTGTTTTTAGACAAAAGTGATACAAATGTATATAAGTTCAGCTGGCGCAGCGGGCGCAGCGCAATAATTCAAGCTGCACGACAACGTTCAGCTAAAACCGCAGCTTTTGTGGAAACACACATAAATCAGTCGGCGGAATCAATCGTGTGTGATGTTCTATCGTACCGTACGACTGTACCTACGTGGAATTGATGTTCGCGACCAGAGTCATGAGCAACATTCACAAATTGTACCGCGATAACTCACCAACATTATTTGCCGATTGTACCATTGACTCGTACACAATTGAAACACACGCGTGAGGATATTGTGCTATGTATGTAAATTATTAAATATACAAAGTATATGCAATTTGTCACTAGACAGATACTAGTACATACTAGCGTTTAACTTTAATTCTTACAACATAATTCCCTTACGCCTTAATATAAATTACAAGCATCAATTACAACAAGACTGCATGCTCGCCGATAATTTCATATCTTCTTTTAATTAAGTAGTGAAAAAGGAAAGAAAATAAATCTTGGAAAATTATAGAGAGCGTGTATTAAAGCTGATGTCGGAATAATAAGCAGTTGCAGCACCCGAGATGTAGCCTGGTAACTAGGTACTATAGTGCATGGTTAGAGGGCGCTTGCAGTGTCAAGCAGACCGTTAGTAATAATTAGTTAGGCTAATAAGCTTACTAAAACATAAGTCGTGTACTGTGTGCGTACTAAACGTACTTATAATGGTTAAGTAGACGGTGGCGCTCGTTTTAATGAAGAGTTATATGTGACTGGATTAGCGTAACAGATCCACGGAGCGTGTGACTACATTGTCGCGAACGACACGTCACGACACGACAGTTGATGTCGTTTTGTCGTAATGCCCTTACTTTGTGCTGAGTAGCTTGTAAGTCAACATTCTTCGTGTTCCTCCTCGTAAAGCTTCTAAGACAGGCATTACAGGTTACGAAACCGGATAATTTAACCGCATAGCAGCTATATAGTTGCACATTATAGTATTTAGAAAATGGAACCTGTGTAGGTAATAAAATTTCGCGAAAAAATCAATTTTAATCAATTATTATTGATTAGATTATCACTGTCGGGTCAGTATGGTTCAGAATGCCTACAATTAAGGTTAGCATAAAGACTATATTAGTAGGAATCTCTTCTTATTTGACAGCACAACGGCACTAGCTCGTAGGACATAGATAGGATACCACGAGTCTGGCGCAAATTCTATCTTGTCATACTTATGGATAATATCATTATAATTTACAACATGTATATACATATCATAACTTTTGTGAGACATAGTTTATAACTTTTTTTTATACTTGATACGTTTGGCCAGCATCTGTACTATAATTATTATGTTTGCGGCTTATTCACGTAACTGTTTGACGAGGAACTCGACCAGTTTCAAGCCACGCTAGAGGCTCGTATTCATTAGCAACGTTTCGCGACTCGAGACGTGGCGACGACGGTCGCGCTGCAACCGGCTACTTGAGTTTGCGGTGTCGAGTTCATCGTCAAACATTACGTCAGCCGAAAATGTAATAATTTATTATTATAAATTGTGAGTAATCAACCAAATAGAAATATCAATGTTGTTGAAAGAGATAAGGTTTTTCTATGATCTATAAATCCTATATGAAATACACGTCATGGTCTCATGTCGTGCAAGAGGTAGCGAATGTAACCACTCGACAGAGCTGACGGCGAGCAGCTAAGTAAGCAGCTATCAAGATAATGCCGTGTAAGCAGCGCGTCACCCACCGCCGGTAATTAGCAGCATCCATCATAACTAGGAACACTAATAACTTTGTAGACTTTACATACTATTGCAATATACTGACATCGCCTGCCCACACAGTGTTGTCTCTCTTTCATGTAACAAACAGATCTGTCTACCGTATTTCACTACTTTAGTACTAAAATATTGGTCCCTTAGTACTTCATGGAAAATATTAAGTGCAATGTAATTGTACCAGGAATTAATATAAAGCCTAAGAATAACCTAAAACATTTACTTGGCATACTTCCAGTCTTTGTCCCTCTACTAAGAATATCGAAACTGGAAAATCCAACAAAACTGATTTGAATGGACCTGCAAAGTGGTCACCAGCGAGTATTTTACTTAGTAATTAGTTATAGAAACAGCTATGTATTTTATATCGTACTGAGATAGGTAACTACTGTAATTACACCAGTAAAACGCTCATATCAGGGCTTAAATTAGCTTAAAGCGATGCAAAATCTTTCATTAACAGTAACATTATTAATTAGGTTTGATTCATAATTATCTAAAGACGTTAAGTTCACGTTGTACTTGTAAACATAGCTGAGTAATACGCATTGTGAGCATTGTGACCCATTCCCGGGTATAACATGAAGCCGAGCTATTTATGTGTACTGTGAAGTTCCAGGGAGCGCGGGTCGACGACACAAGGACGTCTCGCATCCGTTATATTGCACGATCAGACGAGATGCGCATTCTTAATGACGATGTAATGTAGGAGCCCATGTTTATCTATATAGGAATATTATTATATCTATTCGCAAGACATACGACATCGACCAGATAACTCCATGACTGATCATTTTAATCAAGAATCGGTTGGAAATGTTGTAGTCTCGTTAAAACGCAAATTAAAATAAAAACTTGCGGACATGACTTCGAAAACCAATAATTTAAAGATTTACGAATTACTGTTTGTGTTGGTAGTCGTAGGACATGCAATACAATGTCCAAGTGAGACGCCCCCAACAATAACAGCATATCAAGCGTGCGCTGTCGCGACACCACACAATTAACTAACGCTACTACTAATTAAACCACATGACAATTAAAACAATTAATCAAAGCGCTACTATAAAAACCATTGACCAACCAACACATGAATCTGTGCTGATTTCAAGATGGCGAACGCAAGATGGCGGTTTGTGTCTGTAGTGTACGCGCTGTACCTGACCAGCGCCGTGCTGGGCTCGCAGGACCTCATGGCGAAGATGACCAAGGGATTCACGAGGGTCGTGGATGACTGCAAAACTGAGGTAAGATCTACACCTACTATTTTTATTTAACAAACTAATTTAGCTGGCTGCCTTGTTGGCCGAGTGGTCGCAAGTGCGACTGCCGGGCAAGGGGTCTCGGGTTCGATTCCCGGGTCGGGCAAAGTATTACTGGGGTTTTTAAAAATTCTCAGTAGTAGCACGGAGTCTGGAATTGTGCCCGGTATATGGCAATAGGCTCACCCCCTATTACATGGGACTCATAACATAAATAGTGAAAAATGGGTGTTACATTGTACAGTGGCATAATGTGCACCTCTGCCTACCCTTTCGGGGATAAAAGGCGTGATGTTATGTTGTTACAAACTAATTTACACATCTATTTACAAATCCTATCATCCCCTTGCAGCTTAACGTGGGCGACCACATAATGCAAGACATGTATAACTACTGGCGCGAAGACTACCAGCTCATTAATCGGGACATGGGTTGCATGTTACTGTGTATGGCGAAGAAGTTGGACCTCATGGACGACCAGACGATGCATCACGGAAAAACTGAAGACTTTGCCAAGAGTCATGGAGCTGGTAATTTATCTTTACCATGTTTTGCATCGATTAGTTCAAACGATTACTTTGTGGTCAGTCGGTTGACGAAATTACAAATTTCTTAAATGTCTACTAATATTTTCCCAACAGACGACGACGTGGCCAAGAAGCTGGTGAGTGTAATCCATGAATGCGAGCAGCAGCACACCGGTATCGCTGACGACTGCATGAGGGTGCTGGAGGTAGCAAAGTGCTTCCGCACTAAGATCCACGAGCTCAAATGGGCTCCCAGCATGGAGGTCATCATGGAAGAGGTCATGACAGCCGTGTAAAGGAAACCAGAAAACAATACTATATTAGGGGAAACAGCTGCAGTAGTTGCAGTTGAAAATACTATTTTACGCGAGAAATGGTCTGCAGCCTTAAAAAAGTCGATGTACCTATAATTGCTAACGCCATGGAAAATGAAACAAAAGTATGGGGAGTTATATCACCATCGATACAACCTCGTGGTGTGTGGGCAACATAAAGAAATTCATACGTGTGGACGTCATTTGTTTTGTGTTCTCCGGCGTTAACGATTATAAGTTCAGCTGAATGATAACTAAAGTCCTTAATGACTGTAATATTCTTCCTAACATTAAGTAGTAAAATTGTGTGGTTACTGTAACTGGAAAGGGTTTCACATCATTTTTAAATCATCACTTACTAATACTTGGACACAATCATATTTCAATCGTCGGAGTGATATGGTAAGACACCAAGTTCCATCACATCTACAAGTAAAATTGTTGCATTTCTTTTATTATTGTCATGGTTCTCTATTCACATTACTTATATTTCTTTAGGTTCTTGGATAATTAAAGTGTTTCAAATTGATGAGTGTGAAGTTTTATTTAATCAACAACAAACATCAATACGGACAGCCCGTGAGTACTGACACGCCACTGCTGAACTATAAGCCGCCATTAAGTAAAACTGTTTGCCGAAATTCTTTTCTTTTTACGAACTATCAGATTAAGCAGCCACATAATGGCAGCTTCATACACTCTACATGTTGAATCTTCGTCTGTCTGTTGCTGCTAGAAACTAAACAGAATAAAACAGCAAATCACATTGCACCGTACAGTGAAACAAGTGTAAGTTATAAAACCGATCATGTAAGTAAAAGTAGTTCCTATATCGGGTAGAACACTTAGATTCAATGAAGGAGGACGTGTCGTGAATCGCCCATAAACCTGCACCTGCGCCCTGCTGCGCCCGCGTGTCGATACAACCAACACTTTCCTCGACAAATACAAATAAAATTATAAACATAAGGAAAAGTATCGCATTCTAGTCACATCCGCCCTGTGTGGGGTAGAAGCAGAAGGTTCACTTCGTTGGAACTGCGTTAGGTTCAACAATATTGTAGACTATTAAGCAGTTGTAAGGTGTCCGGTTTTTCAGAGTTCTGCTGTTATTTGTCACTTAGTCATATTTTACGACACCTTAGGAAAGAGTAATTAATTATCTGTGGTAAGAAACATTTTCTATTCTGTGGTCATCACATGACGTGCAGAAATTACTTGTTTTTTTTAATTTATTTAGCTTTAAAATATCAAATATCCCAGCCTCGTGTAAAAATCACACCAGTTGAGCCTTTTGTGAACATTTTCTCGTGGCGTACTGTTAGAGTTCTGCAATAAAAGTAAATAACGTCTCGGTCTCAGGTGCGTCTCGTTCAAACAGATTTAACTGCGCCGCGCACGTATTGTTTGTCGAGCTGGTTTATACGGAACCCGCGAACGGATCGTACGCGTCTTCAGACCGGCTCAGATTTGTAACGAGAGCTTTGGTTTTATGGCGAATTTATTTATTACTTGTATACATATATGGAAACATTTATGATACAGAGCTAGGTATTACTTGGGCACGTGGAAACTAGTAAATTAATTGTAATGGTTACAGCTGTGGAAATACAATAATCGATGAATGAATGGCGGGAAGATTCATAAATTGAACGCCAGTGCATATACGGTATCAGTAAGTAGTGTGTCCTCATCACCGCTTAGAAGGTGAACCACCTCGAGCAACCTTTGAGAGAGCTCTTGAACAGTTTGCAGACAAACGTATCGGAGCACTGAGTAAATCTGTTCTCGCCGTTATCACTACATCAAAGTTCGATTAGCGCTGCATGCTTAGCCTCAGTCAGGGAACTGAAAGGGACAGAAGGTACACTGTCCTAGTTGTTTCTAGACGTTAAAGAGTGCAACACTACAAAGAAGTACTGATATTTAAATTTTGTAAAAAATCTGTAATAATTTTTATGATTGTAGAAAAAGCGACTGTACTTTGCTAGGTTCGATTCAAATTGGAAATACCAGTAGCATACAGTTCCTAAACTATAATGACAATATTACTGCCGTAACTACTGCTACTGCTATAGAAGTTAGTGTAACTTACGTTTCATAATTCATGAAGTAACATTAAGCCGGGTAATATCATCCTTCTGCAAGCGTTCACAGTGGCCCAGTGGTGGTGGTAGTGCATGCGCAGGCGCACGTCGCGATTGTGCTGTCGCGTAATGGCGGCGATAGTTCAGAGTTATGGGGCAATTAACCGCACCGAGTCTCACGTGGTGCGCCGGCGCACGCGGGCCCGCCGTGTGAAGCGATTTACCTGGATAGTTTTATTGTTAGGGGACTCGGGAAGGTCAGGGGGTCAGAGAATACAGGTGGAGAAGTTATAAGTTTAGAAGCACCTTCCATTGATAAAATAGTATAATTACAAACTAAATAACAATAACGTTCATTTGTTGCTATTGTTGCTTCAAAAGAAGGACCACAAATATGAAGCAAAATCGTTTATAGTTTTTCCGAATACATTACTATTAAGATATTTATTTATTTATTTTTAAACAGTCACAACGGCAGAAAATCCACTTACAGTAACTGACATATTTACAACAATAAAACAGTAAATAAACAATAAATATAAGCAGCATCCAAGAAATTCGTGAAAGTCTCAGGATTACAAAGCAATATTTTCCCTTCCCTGGGTTCCATACAGTATGGCTGGCAGACGACATTTATTTCCACTACACACTACAGCCTGATGAGAGTTAACGTTTAACATTAACGCCTTCTAAGGAGTTTACAAGCGGCGACACACGAGTACACGTATATTCCCTCAGCTCACGCGCACGCGCACAATAATTTTATCCACACGAACCAAATGACTCTGACATTGTTTTACTAATGTCCCATTCGACAGAACAGCTTTATGGAGCATTCTTACACTTTGTCAGAGCTGAATGTCTGTCGAGTGGCGGAGTAAAGTAAATCTAATTCTACCAAACAGAGCTTAAAGGTGTATGTTCTTGATCTGATCTATAATATAGGTTTGGATAGGGTCTGAAGATAGAAACAGAATGATGAATTGAGAACAATAGTCACAATGCGACATTGAAAATGTTGTTAGAAGTTAAAAAACAATGTTAGCAGAAAAAAGCTTTATTCTCCACGTCACCTACGTCCTATATTTCCGTGAGGACCTCACTCACAATGACCTCGACGTTAGGCTGCCAGTTTAGCTCATGGATACCGGTTCTAAAGCACTTGGCCACCTCCAGCACACGGAGACACTCGTCATCATCACGCTCGTGCTTCTTCTCACATTCGTGGATTATTTGGACTATCTGTGATGCTACTTCATCACCTGGAAAATTTAAAAAGGTTAACACAGCTTCAGTACTAGGTTCACTTCATAGGCGCCATTCGTCTGCGTACCAGCACCGTGTTTCTTGGCAAACTCCTGTGCATTGCCATGATGCATTCTTCCGTTAACGTCCAGCAGGTCCAGCTTCTTACCCATACAGATGATGGCGCAGCCAGTGTCCCGGTTCAGCAGCGTGTACTCCAGCTTCCAGTAGTGGAACAGGTCTGCTATGAGGTGGTCATTCATGTTTAGCTACAACAATCCAACTTTACAATATTGGTAGTGTCTAATAATAAAATGAATGTGCACTTCTTATTCCTGTTATAGGTATTTTCACTTGCAATATGATTATATTTTGTAAACATAAAGTAGTTAAAAAACAACCTCATGCTTGCATTCTTCCAGAACTTTCACGAATCCTGAGGCGATGTACTTCATAGGATCCTTGGATGGTTCTGTCTCTCTCATACCCACTGTTAACACCACGAGCGCGACAAAGACGTTACGCGATCCCATGTCAGACAGGTTTAACATGGTAAGTACAACTTTGTCCCTTATATAGCGGTACCAATTGACAGATTTGTTAACAATCACGTATAATTGTCGACTCCTGCGCATAATTTGTGAACTAATGATAAAGTAATTTTGTACTTGGTGTCTGCTAATGACCGGTTATTACAAATTAACACGTTCTCGTAATTTCTAAGTAGCCTTTGTGCAGGGGGCGTGAGGTGCGTTATTAAAATCGCACTGGAAGGTGTGGATACTCATTGTAGAGTATGATTTAATTAATTGCCTTTCTGAGCGGGGAACTACATCGTGGTAAGTGGTAACTCATACTTCGTATTAAAATTTAGACTGCACGGTTGGTGCGGTGGCTGGGCAACCGGCTGCCGTGCAACGTATCGCGGGTTCGATTCCCGCACGAAACAACACTTTGTGTGATTTACAAATTGTGGTTTCGGGTCTGGGTGTCATTATGTATGTGAACTTGTATGTTTGTAAACGCACCCACGACACAGGAGAAAATCCTAATGTTTTATTTTAAGCAAAAAAACTTCTATCTACCACACTCAATTTCAAAATGACATTTATTATTCTTGGAATCTATATACCTCGACTATCTACAATAAACTCTTCTTAAGTAAGAGGCAAGTCGTCTGAAATTCGGTCGGTTCAATCGTCGCCGCCACACATTCGATGATGAACGTCTCTTCGGCTGAGGAGCCTCAACCATGTCTGTCACTTGGTCCGGGATCTGGTCAGGGTGCACCCGAGTACGGTTCCAGAAATTGTGCTCCGGGGCCCAATCTAACTGGACTATCCCGAAGCGGAAACACTTGGTCACCTCCAGAGCGTTATCACATTTATTTATGGTCTTTTTCGCATCATCCTTGCACATTTCAAACAGGTCCAACATCCTCAGCGACATTAATCCATCTAAAAAAAACTACTGTTGATGATCACGTATGAATAGGTATAGTTCAAAACTTATAATCAATAATTATATAATTACGCATACGTTACCGGCGCCCGCTGCCTTAAAGAATTCTCGCACGTTGTCCGATATCACTGTTTTGCCATCTGGAGTCAGGAACTCATTCTTTTTAAAGACACACTCAAGAGCACAACCCCACTCCTTATTGTCTGCGGGGTTCTTTAGGTCCCAGAAGTTCAAAAAGCTTTGAATCACTTCCTCCTTGATGTCCATCTGATGATAATAACCATATAGATAGGTAAATATACGGGTAGGCTTTGAGTATACTTTGGATATTATATAGTTTATAGTTTTTACATTATCATAGACGTAAGATCTTGAAGACAAATATGAGATCATCCTAATTATTATAATTTCTGTTTAACTGTAGATGACAACAGATACCAGGACCACGGCGTCACGTACCTCCGTCTGGCACTCCAGCAGCGTGTCTCCGATGCTGCTGCTGATGACGCGCAGCACGCTAACCTCGTTCCTGCCTTGCACCAGCCTCGCCTTGTATATTATCAGGCAAACCACCACGATTATCTTCATACTAAGCATTGCTCCAAACGTCCCAATATTTTACTTCAAAATGGCGACTGCTCGGGTCACACCTTGTGGAAACTCGCAATAATTGAGAAACGTGTTGCATTAATTACTTTGTTAATTGGGATTTTGTTATCAGATAACGAAGTTTGAGCTTGAGCTTGTTTCAATTGATGTGGTGATTACATTACCTCCATGATATTTTGTCAAAATATTCCTCAATTTACAATAATAAAATAAATGTGTCTACTTAGTTAATGCATACGTAAGGTTTTTTCCACGTGATCGTTCAGTACTTATACATATATTGTATAAATTCAAATATTAGTAAAAAGCAGAATATAAAAGCTTTTAGGAAACCATAATTTAGTATCTTTTCGATATTAGTATCGGAATACAATCGACGTACTGATTGTAATTTTATTTCACAAAGTGCTTTTTTAAGTACCTAATTTCTATCTTTAGAGTCTTGTGGCCGTGTTCACTAACCACCCTTAAACCAAATCCTAACTAAGAGTTACTTAACGTAGCCTTTACCTTTTTTATGGCATAAGCCGGTAAACGAGCAGACGGATCACTAAGTACTACCTAATAAAAGTGCGGTTACCGGCCTTTTGGGGATTAGGAGTTTGAGGTTAGTTGGGGATTCAGGGATTGGGGAGATTGGGGAAGGGGAGGGGGATAATAGGGCCTCCGGTAACCTCACTCATACGACGAAACACAACACAAGTGTTGATCTCAGTTTTCTGCTCGGCCGTGGTATCACTCCGGTCGAGCCGGCCCATTTGTGCCGAAGCATGGATCTGGGAGATCACTTTAGGTAGGTAGGTTCACTTTAGGTTGGAGTCGCCTACCCTAGCTTAAAGAGTGCCTTAAATTCTAAGAGAGTTTGGTGAAAGCGGGCATTATTTGCTGAGTGTTTAGGAATAAGTTTAATGGTAAGTAGGTACACTGTGAACATGTAGGTACTGATTCAGAAGTAAAACAAGGAACCAATGATGTACAGTTTATTGACCAATATTTGCCATCATGTTGCAACTTATATCTACCCACACCCTCTGAGGCGAACTGGCGAGCCAGGAGATTCTTCACAACTAACCTAACGTGGAGTCCATTGAACGAAGCCGACGTCAAACTATTTTGGAGACCTTGTTATGTGACAATTTTCATGATTTATTAAGATCGATGAAACGAAGTGTTAGCCAAAGTTTGAATTATCTGATATGCTTGGCAAGACAATAGTTCTTGAGTAATTGAAGTTATACTTCAGCAAGCACCTCTCCCACGATGAGTTCCACGCTGGGAGCCCAGTTGAGCTCGTGTACCTTCAGCTTGAAGCACTTGGCTACATTCAGGGTCTTCATGCAAGGATCCGCTGCCACATCGGGAGTAGACTGTGCGCACGTGTGGATCATGTCCACTATCTGCTTCGCCATGGCCTCGTCTGGAAGATCGTGGAGCAAAGATATTAGGCAACCAGACTTGTACGAAGGTAGATTTTTTATTTGAGTTAATTTTAAATTAAATACTAAAAGACATACTGGGCACAACTTTAATAGTCTTACGCCGGAATACTGAAACGTTACTCAATTTTAAGTCGTGCTTAAATATCGTGCCATCTCTGTCATTTTACAAAGAATTAGTGGTGACAGAACTATATTTAAGCGCGACTTAAAATTGAGTAACGTTTCAGTATTCGGGTATTAGACTATGTATGATTGGAATGTTCTTCTACTTCAGTAAAAATAAATATTTAGTGCTTAAATAATAGTAAAAGTAAAGCCAATCTTTTACGTTAGCTGTTTGTTTTAGAGCACCAGCGTGGAGCGACATTACCGCGAGATATTTCCCAATAATACTCCGTGACATTACACTTTCTCTACAATTGTCCGCTTCAATCGTTCGGATAGTTCGCTGATTCATGTTAATTTTTATAAAAATTTCCACTTCTAATATAAAGTCAGTAGAGTACTTTGTACATACTGTCGAGGTGGCATTTAAGATTCCCACTTCTCATGCATGAGGGTGCGGATTCGAAACCTACCAACGGCAAGTACTAATGTGGATTTTTCCGAGTTATATGTATTTTCTAAGATTATCTAGATACCATTGACCAACGGGAATCGTTTCCCGTTGGTCAAACATCGTGAGCAAACCTAGGCTTATAATTTCTAATTATAAGTTTGTAATCGCCTTGATGAGATGAGAGTACTTTGTTGGTGCGACTTAATGCAATTTATTAAAAGTCTATAGTAAAATAAATTGTTGACACGTATATATAATAGACTGGTCCTACGAAGACGGAGTTTAATTACTTTGTCAACAAATAAGTAATTGACAATCACTAGATAGGACATAAAGTTGGAATCTTATCGTTATAGCTTAATATTGCTGGCATGCCTAATCTGTCAGGATTAAGTTGTTGTTATTTAATATTTTACGAGTGGTTGGACAATAAATCATCAACATTGCGACGGACAACGGAACGCAGTAATGGAAAACTAAATACAACAAATGTCTGACTAAAGTTCTCAAGCAAGGAATTCTAACCAGCGCCGTGTTTCATGGCAAATTCCTGGGCCCTGCCGTGATGTAGGTTCAGTTCCTGGTCGAGAATCTCCAACTTGGAGGAGAGGCAGAGGATAGCACAGCCGGTCTGTCTGTTCGTCAGCTCGTAGCCTTCCTTCCAGAAGTTGTAGAAGTCCGTCGTCACAGAGTCCGGCAGGTCCATCTACAACAACGAGCCAAGCCAATTTAATCTGAATACATACAGTATGCATATAACTGCCCACAACTAGGTATTGAATTATTCTAAAAATAATTAACCTTTTGAACGCCAGAGCAAAAACACATGAACCTGCCTTCAACACCGAGTCACAAATTCCGCGCAAATTTCTACGAAAGAAATAGGGGTTCCAATAGGGAATCAAATTGTTAATTGCGTGTTTCCGGTTCCGCTTTGTCTGTCATGTCATGACAGTGGCGCTCAAAAAGTTAAAAAATAAAATAAACACAAGACTTAAAGATTTTAAACTATTCGCATGTGAATCTGGCATCTAAGTAAGTAGCTAAAGAGCTAAAGATGATGATAACAAGTACGCAAAGCTCGGTGAGAAAACATAGCAAAATCTAAATGTAAGACTTTTGAAAATATTGAAATGTTTTAAATAAAATTGACTTTGCAAACTCACCTCCTTCTTACAATCATCCAAAGGTTTCGCGAAATTGATGGCCAAGTTCTTCATGACATCTTGCGAGGCCTGCACCACCACCAGAAGACTGGCGGCCACCACCAGCGCCACCCTCAGCGACATGGTAACCGATGGACAGAACGCCATTGTGGCGACACATCGCCAGGACTCGCTTATATCCGCGGCTAATCACGTCTTAATTAGCTGTGGCGACGTGACAATGAGTGCTCTCATGTCAATTACACGCATGCGTTAATTGGTGTAATGCCTTCATTCATGGAAATCCAATTTAATCGCAGCCCAGCCTGTCATTTGTAATAGCATTGACATTTCTGATTGGTACATGTCATGTGCTCATCAAAGTCGTATAATTCGCCAAATTGGGCATAAAAGGCCAAATGAAAAAAAAATGGGTTTTTTGTAGATTCACAGAAGTGACACAGGATGCAAATAGTTCGATCTCGAACTTCAAACTAAACCAGAACCTGAATTCCAACCCAAGCCTAAAACTTTTCGATAATGCTCGAAACCATTCGAGCAGTTCCGAACGAACATACCCAATTCTTTTCGAGCACTCCCATTTCTTCATTTATTCATTAAATCTCGAAACTTTTCTATCAAGCTAGAAACATTACAAGCAAGCTCAAATATTTTCGGACAATCCCGAAGATTCGTATCCGGTTGAACCTATATTCGGTGGATCTCTACATTCTGAGGGACATAATGACCGAATGAATATATACGAATGAACCGGCCCATCCGTGCCGAAGCATGGCTCTCGTATTTTATATCAAGTCTACAAGCTACTGACCAAACTTAATAATAATAAACAATGTAACCTAATAATACGTTAAATTGTAATATTTTTTCGTCATGTAATGACAATCTCATCAGATAGATAATAATTAAAAAGGTGTTACTTTGTAATCCAATTGCAGAAATAAATATCATTTGCAGAAAATAACTATCGTTTCATTTCATTAGTTTTTACAGTTTTATAGACATGACATTTTATTTACTTTCTGCATTAATTACCACGTGACAAATTGAAATATTTATTAGAGAATATTAGTTACAAGTAAAATCTATAGACGAGTACAGCTGAAGCTGTACCAGCTAGGGAACAAAAGGTTGTTACAGAATTCCTTAACGTTTAATGTGTAGGAAGACATTCAATTGCCCGCTGGCACGGTCGTAAGGAAGTGCTGTAAGGTAAGGATAATAGTTAACTTTATGACGATACTCTTTAGTCTGGTACTCGTCAGTGCAGTTCAAACGTCAGACAGTGTCTGTCTGCCTGATACTAGCAACCAACGCTTAGTCAGAGTCAGAAGGGTTTTTTTTAAACTGTAACTTTTATTTAACAAATTATTATTCTCCCGCGTTGTTAATTACCATAGTAACTGATTATCATTTGTATTTTATTGCATTGGTTAAAAGCAGTGACACAGCTCAGTTTATTGAAACCAAATTTTGTGTTTTAATCAGCAGCATTGTAACTTCGGGTTGAGAATGAAGACGCCGTTAATTTTATGTGAATATTTTTGATAGATCACCCACCTCTCTGCTGTTAGTCTTTAGTTTGATTTGTGTGTACATAAATTAATGTATAAGTTTTTAAATGTGCAATCTGAATAATATAGGATCTATCGAAGTTTTTTTTTTATATTCTAGAAAGTAAGTATTTTGGCTCTCGCGGTAAACTTTCATTGTAATGTCTAATAAATAAATAAATTGTCACACCTTTTTGTTAGTGGTTATATTTCTAACGTTCACACACTTGTGATCTGCCTAGTTAGAGTTACTTAGAAGAAGGCTGCATGTGTTACAAAAAAAGTATTAAGTACCTACTGTCATATACCAACTTCTTTCTTTTTCTTACTACATCATTTCCCAATTTGAAATTGTTCCTGTTATACATAAAATCAATTTCATCCATTATTATTGAAAGATTCTGATTATAACTATTTGCATTTTATTTTTCCTCCGAGACGATTTGCTTTCAAATGATATTATAATCAACTTTATTGCTGACCAAGTGATAAACTGATAACCATTGTTTTTGTATTTTTACTTTTAGAGGTGTATCTTTCATGAAATAAATTGATTATAATTATATTATTCGTTGAGACGTTGACCTGTATTATTATTATGTTTTAGAATAACTAGGAAAGGCAATAAAACATGGCGATATCACGACAAAATGTACTTAATACAATATTATTAAATAAAAAGGATTCATTATTTTTTTGTAGTTTTTTAAATTGCATCTCTATTACTAAGTGCAGCAGTCAATGGTCCATTAGGGTATTAAGGCCAGGTCCTCAGTACTTCTCCATCACAGCTTCAATCATGGCGACTTCTGGTGCGATACCGGCTGCCTTCGCGTCCACCTTGAAGCAAGCAGCCACCTTCACCACGCGCTCGCAGTCGTCCGTCATACTGTCGAACTGCTTCTCACAGTTGTGGATCAGTCCCACCAGCTTCTCTGATAAAACGTGGCCTGGGAGGTGGGAGACAGATTGGTATAATAGAAGAGTTAAGCAATGATGTCTGTTTTCAATATCCATATGGAGGAGCAGCCTCTGTTTAGTAAGAGCTTAGTGGAAGGTTTTGTGGAAATTATGATAGTAATAAGACGATACATTGTTGGTCACTCCGTGAGTAATTAGATAGTTTAGAATTGGTATTTCTGTGGTTGATGGATATAGACTTTATTTTTTATTCAAAAAAACCTCGCCCCACACTTGGGTTTTCTCCTGTGTCGTGGGTTCGGTTACAAACATACAAGTTCACATGCACATGACAACCAGTCCCAAAACAATAAATTGTGGATCACACAAAGAGTTTTTTCTGAGCGGGAATCGAACCCGCACCGCACCAACCGCGCAGTCACACATTTACATCCAAGAATTGTAATTATGATGCTAAACGTGTTAACTTTGTTAAGTGCGCAAAATATTCATTACTGTACCATTAGACGACATTAATTAGTATAGTCGTCACTTGTCAGAGCCATTTACTTATCCATACAGACATTCAAGTATTTGTGTATACTGAAGCTATTAACTAAGAGTCATATTTTCTTTACAAAATACTACATTAACTAAATTAGTGAATAAGTTAACGACCCTTTGCGTTCGCGGTGAGTTTCTCGATAAATTCAGTACAAGCAATATGTCTGGCAGTGTATGGGTCGCGTGACCTTTGTTTCAGTTGCATTGCATGTGCAGTCAGCCGTGAGTTATGTCTATTGGAGGCAGACTCTACTTTATTTACTTCGCGAAACAAATAAATGGGAATATTTTTGAAGACATTGCTAAAGAGGGCTAAACCTATATTTCTTGTTGTTGTATTGTTTTATACTTTATGGCCTAGGAATGATTAGCTACAGTTAATTTGTCCAAACACACTATGCGCAGTTGATCTCACTGCCATTACTGAGGATGGGTTAATCTCACACGATAATATGTATTATGTTGTGATACACACAAAGTGAAGTTTTACTTTTATTCATTTTATGCACCATTGTATTTGTATATTGTGTGTTCCATTCCACCATTTCCATACATAGTTATGTGTGGAAATGGTGTGGAATTTTCCCAAGTTTCGCCACAATTGCATCATTTCAAAAGTGACGCAAAATGACCAGTAGCAATAAGTATTCTAACCGTTAGGGAAGCTCTTGACGTAGTCGTGCATGTTGACGTGGTGCATCCTGCTGTCGTCCTGCAGCAGGGAGAACTTGTTGGACATGCAGATGATGGCGCAGCCCAGCTCCCGGTGCACCACCTCAAAGTCCTCTCGCCAGAAGTGTTGGAACTCCTCTAACACCTCTGCAGATAACCCTGACTGCGGGCAGAACATTCCACTAAGTAACACCTTCTTTGAAGCCCTTACAGATATTATTGACTACCTTTATTTTATTAAAAATCAGGTTGCATTCGGTTACGGCATCATTGAATAATTTCAATATTCCAAAAAAATGTTTTGTTCTTACCTCTTCTCTGCACTCCTCGAGAGCTTTTCCAAAATGGGCGGTGACATGGCTCATCACCTCGGCGGTGCCCATCACCGAGCTGGTGACGGTTGCCATGACAACCAGCAGCAAACAACACTTCGACGTCATCTCGTCACAAATGACCCGTCAGCACCCGACCACACATTTTATATGTTAGCTAAACTTTTTTTACTTCATTCAATTGTATGCTATTAGTAATAAACCAAGTTATTTGCTACTATCATAGTGCTTATTCCGGTCGCATAAAGTCTAGTTTCTGCTCACATAGACGTAGGATATGTTTGCTCGTCACAAACTGATGATTTTGTCCAAAGACAGAGGTAATGTGTATGTTGTATGTAATTGTGGTATGATCGTATGTTGCCAGTCATATCAAACGTGGTGGTTTACCTAATGACTGCCGGAGGACGTCACTCATTAGCTACTTGTGTAATGAAATAAATTAGCTATTGGCAGAATGTCTCGAAGCGTTTTATAAGCGTTGGATCAATAGGCCATTAATATAGGATCGTAATTTGTGATTGCGTGCATCGCTCCGGGACCACCAACGCTGGGAGCATGAGTCTACCTGCAGGTAACGTGCGATACATACTTCAGTATAAAACTATCTTTACTACAGTATGAACTGAATACTTGAAACACCTTCTCCCATAAGAAAAATGTCATTGTCCACCAACACGAGCGTAACAGTTGGAAATGTATATGGTGTCTCGAGTAGGTCTACTCTTCCATTAGTCCAGTATTCGAGGCACGTTTCCCATAGCACGGGCCATTGGTCGGCAGCCGGCATACGTGTGGCGGTGCCCCTTCCCGTGCCGGCGTGATGCATGGCGCTCCGGGTGACAGCCTACAAGGCTCCGCCATAAACACCAAAAAAGGTAAATGCTTTTTTAAAATCGTTACTTGTGCACCGTAAGTGAGATATACTACATGTGTCTATGGAGTACAATAATTGTTGATAGTCTTCAAGACTAGTTTATGTCTTACTAACTTTGGATTTCCAAACAAATATACTCAAATACAATTAAATAATATGTTACACTGAATACAGAATTACAGTGATTCGTCCTGTTTGGGCCCAGGAAAATTCATGTCTTTGGAGTACTTACACTCTAAGTAAGAATTTGGTAACACTTTACGGCTTCAACTCCGGCCGAGGCGACAAGAGCATCTTGTATTTATAAGATTAATTTGTGTTAAATATTGCTATCTGCTAAAGTAAGTAAGAATTAATAAGATTTTACATAAAAAAGTAATTAAAGTTAACGTCAACACATTAATCTTTGTAACTTCTGAAACTTATCACATCACAACTAACCAATTACTGATAAACGGTATTCTTTCAGAACAGTCATTAGAGCTACAAATGTCCCTGAAGACGGGAAAACTATCCGGCGTGAACTTCACCCATCCATCATAGACGTCATGGTAAGCAGGGTACAGCGATCTGTCAACTGTAATGAGACTAGTTTGACAGGTGCAGAGGGCGCCACGCACGAAAAATGAAAGGTTTTCGCGTCCTGATAGAATATGTTCGTGATGTGTTTGACTAATGATGGGAAATTGTATAGGGACTGTAGTTTGTGATTTATTGATCATTTTGCGCTTCGTACAATTTTCTTTCTTTTAGGTTGTACTGTGATTAGTCTGGCTAAATCAACGGGACAGTAAATAACTGCATAAATGCACACAAAATAATAACAATAACTTCATCTCCAGTATTATTTTTTTTATAAAAGTTTTGCAAAGCAGGAGAATTACAAACAAGCTTCTTTATTGTTTGTTTACAAAAACAATCACAGTCCTCGTCCAATAAACTAGCGGGGGGAGCCCACAATGAGTAATAGTCGGTGTTGCCAGCCTCGCGATCACTTCCCATTCGCCTCACGTAGTGTTGCCAGGGGAGAAATAAATATTTCCCGCGAAAATCCGCGGCCTGTTCTATATGTAAATTTTTATGTTTTTTCCATCAAATAAAGTTGTGCCGTGTGTGGTTTTATAATTTTACAATACAAGGCTCAGGTGTCGAACCCGCGTAGTCACGAATTTTAAGAGAAAAATATATTGGATTGGAGCTTGTCTCCTATAATTTTATACAGGGGGTTACAAACAACAAACATGCATTCGGAAAATTTGCATTTCAGGGTTTTCCAATGCAGTAACAATTTAGTCGAGTAGCGCAAGACACAGTCTCAAAAATGTACATACATATAAGAGTACTGTGTATGAGAAGTAGCAGGAGTAGTCACCAAGTGTGTGCCAGTATCACACTACTGGTCTATTCCGTAGATAGAGCTTGTACGTACTTTGTCACAGTTTAACGTATACGACATTCGAAAATAACGCTTAGTATAGTTATTGCTGTTCAAAAGTTAAGAGATAACAGAAGTAGTTTTTCCCTAATTATAATGTAACAAACACATTTCCTAAACTTGAAGCTACACTCGTAGCAATAGTTACTCAGGTACATACTGTGAAATTATCGATTAAACTTGCCAAAATAAAGTATGTGTGTGTCCATACATCAAGTTTAATGAAATACTCAAAGGTACTGCAACAATCCATCAAGCTGTCCGTCTGTCTCACTGCACTCCGACAAAATTACGTCTACAGCTCAAAATATACAGTATCTTAGAAAATGAGGCCCCATCGAGCGCAAACTTAACTTTGTTTTTAAACACCATTAGTAAACTCATTCTACAGCTGCGACAACGAAAAATGAATCTTATCACAACATAATACGTGTTAAAACAAAAGTAAAAAGTGTATTTGTAAAAGTCAAAACAGAAGTCAAGTATAAACAAGTAGCTATTGCACTGCTGAAAAAGCGTGCACATTAATTTTATAACATTTCCCAAAGGCATAGAAGAGGTTTTTGCTTGCGTCGCTTTTTTGTGACGGCAGAGATAAATTGGTTCCTGGAAGGAATGGATTCCATGGGGAATCCACCATTTTTCAAGAAAACAGCGTTGAATACTAAATGTGGGGAACAATGACTTAATAACGTCGAGCTGACGACTCACGACCAACACTGCAGCTGTAGTCAAGAGAACATTAACAGACCTTGTCTTAATGTACGCACGTGCTTCATTTGGTTTGATTTGAAATGTGTAAAATAATTAACACCGAATATAGTGCAGATGAGGCGCAGAACCTCAGTAACAAGACTACGTTTTGACCCATTTGAGGAAATTCAAACCGTAATCTAAAAAACAGACAGAGCTTACAAGTCTGACAGGTGCACTGCACATATACAAGTGGTTCACCTTGACCGTCCCTGTAGGCGAGTTATCAGGTCGTGTGCCGTGATTTACGAGCTCTGCCTGACCTCACAACTCACTGCCTGCATGATGTATGACTCAGCTGTAATATTCATTCACCACTACAAAGAGGTACATACAAAACGCCATATTTTACAAACAATACACTGTTACATTATTACTGTCATTAACTTCATCGGATGTTTTATTAATGAGCAGTCAAATGCAAGGCTGGTGTAGTGGCTCTGCGTCGGTCTACTGAGTATGGGTATGTGTGTTGTGCGTTTGATTCCTACACGAAACTACTATTTTTAGAACGAAACTGTGTATGAAACAATACATCACATTTTTATTCTTCGAAGGGTCAGCTTTTACCATAAATTGTCACAAATCAATCGGCTCATCAGGAAAATCCAGTGCAATTGCAATATTTAAACAAATCAGAAAAATTAAATCACTGTTGCTTGCTACCGCTGCGTCTGCCAGCAAGCTACGTATAGTCAGCATCCTGTACGTACCTCGCAATAGTGTGCAGATGTGCGCTGGTAGCCAGCTTCACCAGCGGCCGCTGTGGTGGCCTGCTGGGCCTGGTGGGCGGGCTGTACGTGTACTCTGCTGCGGGCGAGCCCGTCAACCATGACCAGTGCTCCGTCATCGTTACGGGGACTTTATATCACTACACGAGATTGTATAAATGAAACCATAGTTTGAACGTTCATTTTGTTTTGATCACTTTATGTATATTAGCTATTAATGAAACGAATTTAAGTTGGTAACGACGACTTTACGAAATGCAACTAGTTAAATCCAATTCTAAGAAACATTAATTGGTTTTCAGGTTCATATATATTACGACGCCATATTTTCCTCCGTCTACCAAGCTAACCGTGTAATATATCAAATTCTTTCACATTCTCGATTCATGAGCGATGATTGATAACAGCTGCAAATAGTTTAGTCTTGTAAAATAATGCTCTTTGATCTGCCACTATAACCTTTATGACAATAAACATAAGGGTCGTGCACTTGCATCTTTTGATCTGCTATTAAAATATTTTGATATTCCAACACAGACGTTATAGTCAGACACATAAGGTTAAAAGTTTTCCTTGCTAAATGGAAAACTTAGGATTTTCCCACATGAAAATATACCTTAAGTCCACTGAAATAAGCCAAGAAATTGTTTACTGAAAAATAAACCAGTAGAAAGGAATCTCGACCGCTTCAAAACATCGTTATTAAACTTCCCTTTTCAAATCTTATCCTTGAAAGAACGGTGGAATAGGATTACCTCCTCACGCTTTATATGATTAGAAAGGGACGACAAGTGAATATCGGAAGCGTGGAGTAAGCGTTTAATAAGCACTAGTAGTAAGTGAGGCAATAAATCTTAGAGGAGTTGGTAGTGGGGACTATAGGGAGCGGGGCAGCGCACTATGGAACATTCATAGCGACACTTATGTGACGTCATGCTGTTCTCAGAATGAAATTCTTAGATGAGTGTTCATAAAGGTGGGGTGTAGACTGGCGGGCGACTGGTGCGACTGTTATTGTGTACTCCGCACAGATTTATGTAGCTCATAATAATGGTATGATCTGTGGAGATGCACATTTCAAGAGGCGTGCGGTGTAGATGGCGGAATTATTCATGGTGGCTCATAAACTAATGACAATACAGCCGGTTCTATTGGTGTAAATGTGTACCGTGAGGATGCTTCTAATATAAAGTCTCTGGAAATGTTTAAGTAATTTAATTTATTAAAAGTTTATTGATACTTTTTGCCGTTCACCTTTAGTTGCTAATGAAGGCCTGTTGTTCCTGTTGAATCTAATAATATTCCGTTGCGT